TGAACGTTCCACTTCACAATGCCGACTGAAGTTTTTTTTTTCGTTTGTCGTTTCTGTGAGTGTCATAGAATCTGTGACAAAATGTTATGAGAACGCGTGCAGATAGAAAGTTTTCAGTGAACTCATAATATTTCGCAAGAGATAGTGTCTTCATTGCGAATTAGAGAGCTTTTTTTTGTTTAGAATGTTCAGACGTCCGAGAAATTGCCTTTTAAGCAACTCTACCATCTTGAAATGGAAATGCGTGGGATGCAGCAACGAATGCAACATCTGTATCAACAACAAAGAACACCAATGGTTGAACAAGAGTTGCAGCAGGTAGATTAAGTTTTCTTTGTAAAGTTTGAATATCTCTTTGGGGTGATTCTTTTCCTGTTGAAATATCGTTTGGAACTTGTACCTTTGCTTTTTTGTTGGTACTCAGCTCATACAACTCTTCCTTCATTCCAACTGGATTTAGAAGAACTAAGCAGCAGAATTCATGTTACTTTGTTTATCTATTTCAATTTTTACAAATTTAAACTTCATTATATCATATGTGCTACAGCCACGTTGATTAGAACGTCCTGCTGTGTTGGCAGTTGTACAAAAAAGTAGCATCGCGAAACAGTTGAGAATGACTCGCCTAAACCAACTGATGTGATTTTGGTGTGTCTTTGACATGCAACTGAGCGTTATTCATTTGCTCTTATGTCCTGTTTTGATACGTCTTAGTATTTCTAATGCCGGGCGAATTATGACGCTCTCTTGAAGTCAGTCAAAGTACATTATCTGGATAATTCCAGGTGCAAATGCGTCTTCAATACCTGCAAGCGGAACATCATCGTTTGCAAATGAGTGCGCAAGCTGGTCAGTCCTTAGCCGCTCCTCAACAGCAGCAATCCCAACAACAACAGCAACAGGCACAAGGGGCTATGGCTCCGATGTCTGGAGGATCAGGAATGCCAATGAGTCAACAGGTAATAGCTGTTTGTTTGTATTACCTTAAAGGCAGTGTTCAGAATTTTGTTTTCCAGTTTTTCTCAGTTTCGGGGCCTTCTCGTCATGAAGAATTCATATCTGGGCTTTTCCGCGCATGAAAATGGAATGAGCCTTTTTTGAAGCTCCAGGTCTGCATTTAGAGAAAATACGCCGGAAATCTTCCGCGTCCCTCCCTTGTTTCGGACTCCGCCCACTTATACGTATTTTCCACTGTATGCGAATCTGGAAAGCTTTGACCATAGCTTTCCGAATTCCAAAGCTCATTTTCGCCATTTTTATGCGCGGAAAACTTAGATACGGATTCCTCATGGCGAGAAGGCCCCCAAAATGTGAAAAACTGGAAAACGAATTTCCGCCGGGACACTGCCTTAAAATTATCTGTCGTGCACACTTTGCTTTTTCTGTTTCTGTTTTTCTTGCTCATTGAAATGCTTTAGATGCCAGGAATGGGGCCACCTAGTGGGCCTAGTACTGGGCCGCCTAGTCAGCAAGTAGTGATACAACAGAGTCCATCAGCGACACCTACCACACCGGTTCAGGTCACGCAAAGTGGTAGTCAAGTTCAGGTAACCGCCACACATTTTGTTTTTCGACTAGTCTTTCTGAATATGCAGCGAGGGCTGCAGCCGTGGGATATATGTGTTTAATAAGCTGTTTTTCATCTTGTTGAGAACATATCGTTTTTCCCACGCTCTTTTGAATGTGAGAATTTGCCACCTCTATCACAAAAAGCTATCTTTGTCTTGTTTTACATAGTCGAGTGTCGAATTCGCGAATTTTTAGGTAAATATCAAGCCGGAAACGTCAGGTCGAACTTTAATTAGTGTATATCATCGATTTGGTGAGTCTCCAAATGGAGATGAAGCTTTCAATGGAGATGCAAAGGACTCAGTCCCTCCGGAGCCAACACCCACGCAGCAGCAGCAATATCAGGTATGGGAACATCTTGAAATGTGTTCTTTTTCCCAAAACTGTAATTCCAGGATTCTCAACAAATGATGTCGCCACCTTCTCAGCATCATCAACAGCCGCAACAGATACAGCAACAGCAACATTTGCAACAAATACCTGCTCCACAACAACAACAGCAACATCATATGATTCCACCCCATCAGCAAGTTCAACCACCGCCACAGATGCAACCATCACAGCTCCATCAACAACAGCAACCAACGATGCCTGTTAATGGAATGGATAATGGTTTCCAAAATAATGGCGTAAGTGCTTTTTGTAATTTAAGCTTTCACTGATGTACATATTGCTATTTTTATCGGAACATTGATTGACATTCCTTCACTTGTTATTGCAGTTGGTTCATGCACAAGGTGTTGTGGAAGCTATGGGACAGCAACAATTACCTCAAGCAGCACAGCAGCCACCACAGCAACAGCCGACTCCGCCTGCTGTAAGTGTAGAACAAAAACCTGTGGTATACAATCCGTATGCCGATGTTCAACCTCAAGCCGAACCAAGGAAGTCTGTGGATGAGGCTGAAAAGAAGGTGAGAAACATGGTTGTTTCTGTCTTGTTTTTTGTGATGCGAAATCGTTGTCGATCCACTTTGTTCCATTTTCGCATCTATTAAAAATCATGGTTCAGCCAGAAATCCCTCTGCCGAAAGTCGAAGTTGTTCCACCATCGGAAGAAGCAGATATCAAGCCAGCACGAATTGTTCCAGAACCCATCATCCAACCTTCTGCCCAGTTATTCGACGACAGGTGAGGCAACCTGCTTAATTACTTTT